TGTAATTGTGCTGCTTCAGCCCATCAGAGCACTGGGGTAGCACTCCACATTTCTCTTAACTTTCCATTTGGAATTACAAGATGTTTGCCAGGATTTCAAAGAGGCTCTTACATAACAAAAAAATCTCTCAACCTGAGGAAAAGGGGGAAGAGGTTTTCCTAACATGTTTATGCTTTTTTATTTTACTGGACAGTCTTCAACAAGGGCCCCAAACAGACTCTTCATTATCTTATTGCCTTAAACTGGATAATGTACTTACTTCTAAATCAGTCACCAGCAAAGGGAGGTGAAATTATCATAATTGGTTTTGAACTGTCATGATCCATCCCTAAGGACTAAGCAGTTTCTAATATTGGAACAAAATTGGAGCTCTTAAAGCAAGGAGAAAAAGGGTATTTGTTGTTGAGTAGACAACCAACAGTCCTGCTGTACACCATTTTTTGAACTTTTGTTTTTGGGTAAACATGACAAGAGGTTGATAGTTCACCTGTATGCTATAGTATGTGTTAACCTTTTAGGTTGGTAATAAACAGGGAAATATATATCTACCAATGTATCATATTGCAGCAGTTCAAAATTGATTTCATTTTTATATTGCTGTTTTGTAGAACAACGATTTTTGAATAGTCTGATTTTTGTAATTCTTATGAATAGCCATTAAACATTTATTTTAGGAATAAACAGCTAGGTAGCAGTATAATATATACTGTGAAAATCAGATACAAATGGCCTTAGAACAAAGTATAAACATCAAAGTAAAAGAATACAATGTCAGCAGCAGTCGTATTGGGTAAGAAAAGGTACAAATGGCTAAAAGATAAATGGTGAACACCTGTGCTGAATAAATTAAACACCTGTTTCTCAGTTTTTCATTTGATTCCTCTAAAAGGCTGTTACAGGGTATTCATAAGACACATTTACTTTGAGGTGTTTCTTTGTTATTACTATTAATTGGTAAGCAGTACTAGATGATATCAGAATTTATACCTCCAAACTCTCAGAGTAATATGTGAATTTTGGCAATTAGTGAAAAATGCACTTACAAAAAGTAGTGTTAAGCAGTTTTTATTAAGAGAAATTATCTCAAAAATATTGTTATATTATAAATGACCTTTGGAATTAAAGTTAGCAATATAAATGACACTAAATTTAATTTGTGAAATCAATTTTGATTGTGAACATTTGTATAAGAACTAATGATGCAGATTGTTTTCCTTTATCAACAGTCTGCAGCTTATGATGGTTTGACTTAATGATTTTTCAACTTTATAATGGTTTTATTGGGGTATTAAATGCGTTTTATCTTACTATATTGGGTTTATCAGGATGTAACCCCATCATAAGTTGAGGAGCACCTGTGTATGTTAAAATCAATGTAATATCTTAGAACTCCAAGGTTCATTTGAAGGCTTCTAATGCAGCTACATTATTTTGTAATTGGTAAATGTGTTTTTATAGTTTTCAAACACTTTTAAATTAATAGAATTGAACTATTACTGTATTCTGAGGTTTTCTCTGAAAGGTTGAATATCTCTTTAAGAAAATGTCTTTTACCACAGAATAAAGTGTTAAATTTGGGGGAAGATAGCCCTTTTAGATGAACAGAATTTTGCTTTCTGAGGATGTACATGGAGTTTTAGGAGCTTTTGGATATCTTTATATTTTCTCATTAAGTATTAACTTCAACCTTGGCAGAACTCCAAAAATACTGTGGTTGTATTTAATGGAAAGTGAGGACAGTGTCATGTTTTTATTGCTTGTGTTTTCCGTAGTGCTAGGAATCTCACCAAATTACAATGTTCAGAACAGTAAAACAATAGTTTATTGATATAGAAAAAATTTCTGAAGAATTTCTTCTCTTCGCTTATACCTTTAATTGAGTATTTTGACTTATATCTTCCAGGTTGTCCAGTACTGGTTAATATATTTCATTCACTCTATAAGGCTCCCTATTACAGAATGTAATAGAGAACCGCTGACTAGATCATTTGCTATGCTCAATTTTCACAGTGTCATCGTCATAGTCTGTCATAAGAGAAGTTACCATATTCTGTCTTATCTGTAAAGTGTAATTAATTATCCTGTCATTCTTTAAAATTAAAGGCATGGAACTTTTTCTTTAAGAGTTAGGTGTGGAACGTTTACTGAAAAAAAAAATTAGGCGTGGAACTTTTGCTGAAAATTATCCGTTTAGATCTCTCATGGAACACACTTTAGTTTTGTTGGTTTTCTTTTTTTTTTTTTAATTAATTAATTAATTAATTTATTTATTTATTATTATACTTTAAGTTGTAGGGTACATGTGCATAACGTGCAGGTTTGTTACATATGTATACTTGTGCCATGTTGGTGTGCTGCACCCATCAACTCGTCATTTACATCAGGTATAACTCCCAATGCAATCCCTCCACCCGCCCCCCTCCCCATGATAGGCCCCGGTGTGTGATGTTTTCAAAATAATAAAAGTGAATACAGAGTGTGAACAATTCTGTAGAAAATATACAAATCACCTTTCATATTATCGCTCTTCATTCTTAATACTGTTAATGGCAATGCTATCATGTGCTTATGTAGCCAGTGAACTTTCATCATGTGAATGCAGAAAACCTAGGTATACAGGTTTTGAGTTGACTATTGAGCTGTGGGCAGTTTAACAATATCTTATTTTTGATTAGTATCTTTTTTTTTTTTTTTTTTTTTTTTTTTTATGAGGACAGAGTTTTGCTCTTGTTGCCCAGGCTGGAGTGCAATGGGACGATCTTGGCTCACTGCAACCTCCGCTTCCTGGGTTCAAGCAATTCTCTGGCCTCAGCCTCCCAAGTAGCTGAGATTACAGGTGCCCACCACCATGCTTGACTAATTTTTGTATTTTAGTAGAGACGAGGTTTCACCATGTTTGTCAGACTGGTCTTGAACTCTTGACCTCAAGTGATCCACCTACCTCGGCCTACCACAGTGCTGGGATTACAGGTGTGAGCCACCGTGCCTGGCCTGATTAGTATCTTATATTTGATTAACCTTTTAGAGTTTATAAACTACTTTTCATATATGTTAACTTTCTTATCTCACAACAGTTTCATAAAATGTAGGGCAGGTGGACTGACCCCCATTTTATAGGTGGTGAATCAGACAGATTAAATGACTTGCAAGTATTTCCTAAGTGATGAGTCTAGGATAGAACGTGGATGTTTTCCTCACTTTAGTTTCCTAGATCTCAAAAGTATTCATGTAACATTAATGATATCAATTTGTTTTTTTTGTTAGATTTTATTAGAATTACTATGACAGTAAATGTGGCATTTTATTTCTTGACATTTGAGTGTTATTCTTTCATTGCCCCTCTTTGTTTTTGTAATGTTTATTGTGTTATTTTTAATAAGGCACTTATTTTTTTCACTTAACTCAGATTTTCTAATTTGCAATACAGTGTTTTTTTCTTGGCCTTATTTTTTGTGTTTTTTTGCATTTGAAACAAAAATAGCCTTTGCATGTATAAACCATTATTCATCAAGCATTTATCAGATACCATATCTATAGAGCAGTGCAGTAGGTGTTGTGTGGGGCACAGAAGGAGCGGTGCTAAGGTATTCCCTCCAGGAATTACAGTCTGATTGGGAAGATAAAGGATATACTGGAAAACCGAAAGATTATTAAAAAGGAAGGGATAAATACATGCTAGGTAAACTGCATGTGTGTATTATGGGAGCATGGTATCACAGAGTGATGAGTGTAATTGGGCTAAGGAAGACTAATTCAAAGTGAAATTTAAACTTTTTCTTAAAGTAGTTTGTTAAAGTATGTGATTATGTTTGAGAATGGAAGAATTGTGATATTATGCAGAGTGGGAAGAAAAGGACAGAAGAGACAAATGATATGGACCAAACTTTCATGATTTGACAATTAGAATTGATAAATTTGGAGTTAGAGATACCATGTTGGAAAGTAGGTGGAGATGAAACCAGAAGATTAGTAAATAAGGAAGGCGGTTTGATTTAGAGACAGGAAGAGGAAGATTTTTTTGTGGGGTAAGTTTTAGATTTGTTATAAGGAAGGGCTATTATTAGTTCTTGATCAGTTAACTAGCAGATTTTTAGTTGCCAAGACCAATCACATACAAGGCATTGTGCCAGATATTGAGCAGTGTGGCAACTCAGTGAAAATAGTGGGCTCTGTGGAGGATAAAATATCATACAGAAATTGATAAAGCAGACAGACTGAATGGGAGCCTGTTCTATAAATCAAGACAATGGTGGACTGAGAATGTTAACTCTAATAATAAATTTGGAAATGGGACTTCGACTAGAGTAATAGGCATCAGTGCTAAAAAAGGCAGGAAATTATACAGAAAGGTCCTATTAGACACCACATTGTGATAGGCCAACTTAATCTTTTCAAGGCAGATTTTTTTTTCCCTTTATTGAAGGTCTTCGGTCATATCAAGTCCGGAATTCCTCAGTAATAACAATGTTGATAACTACCACTGTTGAGCATTTACTGTGTCCCAAGCACTGTGTCAGGCTCTTTGCATGCAGTACTTAATTTAATCTTCAGAACAACCTTGTGAGGTGGGTGGTATTATCTCTGTTTCATAGATGGGTAATTTAGGTGGTCTCAGAGAGGATAAATAACTAGTCTAAGTTCACAGAGCTTACTAGTCATATGGTCAGGATTTGAACCAAGATCTGTTATTCTGAAGACTATGTTCTTCATCACTGTGGTAATTTGCTTCCAAAATACAACTCCCCTGTCTGTCTTAAATTCTCAAAAATGTGCATGTGACGTGAAATCTTTATATTTTTCAAATCTTAATTTTGTTTCTTATTTTACTGAAACATTAACAGATGAATGTTTAATGTCTGAGTCACATAAGCAAAACATACACTGAACTTCATAAAAGGGGTAAAGGAATAAAAGTTGCTGTGAAAAGTTAAAGCAATATAAAAATGTAGCAGGGTAGAATTAACAAAAGCCTGGTGTTTATTATTATAATTTCTTATTAGTCAGGATTTGCATGAAGATGTAGAAGAGACTGGTGCACTGCAGAAAAATCATGCTCTTGTGACATCTGCAAACTCCACAGAAGCTGCAGATTCTGCCTTCCTACCTATGGAGGATGAGTCATTAAGCACTATGAACTGTGAAATGCTCACAGAACAAACTCCAAGCAGTGATCCAGAGAATGCGCTAGAAGTAAATGGTGCTGAAGTGACAGGGGAAAAAGAAAACCATTGTGATGATAAAACTTGTGTGCCATCAACTTCAGCAGAAGACGTGAGTGAAAATGTGCCTATAGCAGAAGATACCACAGAACAACCAAAGAAAAACAGAATTACTTACTCGCAAATTATTAAAGAAGGCAGGAGATTTAATATTGATTTAGTATCAAAGGTAAGTACTAATTTTACCCATCTTTGCATTAAAAACAGTATCTGGACCCATAAGCCCAGTTTTTGTAATTCTCTGAGATGCAGAACGTTTGTTTTGTAAAGAGAGAGTAGCCACACATTTGTAGTTCATTTAAAATTCCTTAAGTACAAATTAAAAACACATTTAAAGTGATCACATTAAAATGCTTTAATTATGTTTTTAATCTATACCTGAAGAATACTTTTGTACTTGAGCACATACTACAACCTAATATTCTCTGGACACTATGAATTCTATCAAAAGAAAAATTCTAATGAACCTGTTTAGAAATCCATGTTATTTACAGTCCATTTCCATCCATTCTTTTAGCCTTTATATATAGTAACTATTTTCACAACTGTATGATGATGAATACTCAGAATAAACCAATGCATTTTTAAAAATCATGTGTTCACATGGACACAGGGAGGGGAGCATCACACACCGGGGCCTGTGGGGGTTGGGGGTTAGGGAAGGGATAGCATTAGGAGAAATACCTATGTAGATGATGGGTATGTAGGTGACGGGTTGATGGGTACAGTAAAACACCATGGCGTGTGTATACCTATGTAACAAATCTGCATGTTCCGAACATGTATCCCAGAACTTAAAGTATAATTTTTAAAAAAGAGTCTCAAAAAAATCATGTGTTCAGGTTTGAAAGCTTCAGAGGAGAATTTAATAGTGATGGAGGCAGGAAGGCTGGGAAGAAAGCTATTGTCTTCAGTTATGTTCCTGAACATAACTAACTTGAATGTAGTTCACTGTAACTTCACAGGAGGTCCCTCCATCTTAGAAGGGTACAATATTGCATTTGGTTCGTAGGAGGCAAGACTATTTTAGTGCAAAAGAATAGAAAATCAGTAAGATAAAGGATTATGGCTTAAAGGGTTACAGTACAGGACAGGGTAAAAGTAGATAAAAAACAGCGACTAAATCCTATAAGTTGAGAGCTAACAATAAGGAATTGAAAAGAAGTAGAAGAGAATAGTAAGTAACACCAGACTTGCCACAGAACTAGCACAGAACTAGGCTTTTCAATTTAATGTACTTTCTTCAAGTTCCAAATAATAGGGGATAGAGAGGGACCAAAACATTTCCCTTGACAAGTTGTTTCTGCAAATCCCATATCCTCATACTCTTGCTCCCTTTGAACTTGATGCCTGAAAATATCAATATCTTTTTACTACCCATTTTTCTTTCTGTCTGTCATATAGCACTCTGTGTCTTATTTTGCATAGTTGGCTATTGCATTGGTTCTACTTCATACTTCTGTACTATCTCTCCCCCCTTCTCCATCTACTTTGACCCTGTCATGATTTGAAATCTAGCATTTTTTGCACATTACCTTGGCTGTTCATCTGTGGATGGAAGTTTAATCCTAGCTCACTAATAACCTTCCTGGTCCCATGAGCAGTACTCTATGAAATAGGTTAAACAAAACATAAAAACTGAACAAGTCAAATAACAAATGGGCTTTGTCTTACAATTCCATTTTGAAGTAGTTACTTGGAATTTGTCAAGTTTTACCTAAATAAATGGTTATATAAATGTGGTTAAGAATCAAGGCTATTTCATGAAAGTCTATAACTTTTGTGTTAGCTGAAATTTAGTATATATCTCGCAAAGGGAAATGGTAGAAGATGGGGCTGTTTCAATTGTCGGAATTGGTGTAGAAAATTATTCAGTTGTGTAAGAAAATGAATGCTGGTTGTGGGAAGAAAAAGATAATTGAATTAGAAGTTGACACATTTGAAGATACTCTGAAGGAGACTTCTGGGTATTTTCATCACTTTGAATGGTTAGTAATAACCAGTTCTCTTATGGTAAGTAAAAACCAAACATGTCTAGAGGCAGTGAACTAGCCAGTTGGGACTACGTCCTGCAGAGTTTCATGGGTTCATACATTCTATAAAATAACTAATAATCATTTAATGTACTCATTTTCAAAACCAGAAGTATCTTACTCACATATAACCCTAGTAATACAGGAGGTTAATTGTCCGTTTTTAAAATGTAAGTCGTTTAATACATATTCAGTGCATACTAGATGGAAAGCAATATATTCCATGTTATTGGGGCAATTGGTCACTCCTTGGAAATTTCATCTGTTCTAATAATTGCAGTTAATAAACATCTAAGTTTAGGATGATTGCCAAATATCTATCTTAAAGCCCTACCTCTTTTCTTTTTTTTCTTTTTTTAATTTTTTTGAGACTGAGTCTTGCTCTGTTGCCAGGCTGGAGTGCAGTGGCGCAATCTCGGCTCACTGCAACCTCCACCTCTAGGGTTCAAGTGATTCTCCTGCCTCAGCCTCCCGAGTAGCTAGGACTACAGGCGCGCACCACTATGCCTGGCTAATTTTTGTATTTTTAGTAGAGACGGAGTTTCACCATGTTGGCTAGGATGGTCTCGATCTCTTGACCTCGTGATCCACCCGCCTTGGCCTTCCAAAGTGCTGGGATTACAGGTGTGAGCCACCGCACTCGTCCAAAGACCTCTTTTCTAAAGTCCAACGCAGTATCTCCAAACTACTTGACATTTCTATATGCGTTCAACCTCAAAGACATGGTGATATAATTAACAAATACTGTGCAAATACTGTGGGGTTTTACAGTTGACAATACACATTCACGTATATAGCCTTTTAAAAAGTAATAGCTCAAGATAGGTTAAATAAAATATGTATAGTGTCATACTGCTCAGACTAATAGAGAAGATCAGAGATGAAGTTCTTAAAATGAAAGCTCATTTCTAAGTAAGTACATACTCTTAGTAATTATGGAACCAACATGCTAAGTGAAGGAAAAATTGTTAATTATTAAATCTAATTTCCATTATTGTAATCAAATTGCACTGCTCTTTAGCCCCTCATCACTGTGGTAGATCACCTAGAGGGTAGTGAAAAAGAGGCTTAGGCTGAGCGTGGTGACTCAGGCCTGTAATCCCAGCACTTTGGGAGGCCGAAGCAGGCAGATCACCTAAGGTCAGGAGTTCAAGACCAGCCTGACCAACATGATGAAACCCCGTTTCTACTAAAAATACAAAAAATTAGCTGGGCTTGGTGGTGCATGCCTGTAATCCCAGCTACTCGGGAAGCTGAGGCAGGAGAATCACTTGAACCTGGGAGACGGAATTTGCAGTGAGCTGAAATTGAGCCACTGCACTCAAGCCTGGGCAACAAAGTGAGACTCTGTCTCAAAAAAAAAAGAAAAAGAGGCTTAAATTTGAATATGGTACACATTTATTATTTCTGAGCTTCAGAAACAAAATCTCGTATAATTTTAATTGAAATTTGTTTTTGTTCTTCTGTGATATCTTAAATGCATTATTTTTCAAACTGGCATTAAACCTTAAGCTTTATTGGATCTTATTAAATAAAAATGCATTTTCATGTTTTATATCTTAATGTTTGTGAAATTATTATGGCTATTCAGGGATGCTTGAATCTCAAATGTGTATCTTTTTAAACAAATGAGGTTTTTGAAGTAACTATTTTTTATCACTATTGTAGAGTTAAGAATTGGCAATATATTCTTTAAAGCATGGGTTCTTTCAGTTATGTAGTATGTTAGGAAGAGGGTAATGAAGTAACATGCCATATTTAATCAGGATAATCAGATTAGTTTCAAAAAAGTGATGTCTATTTTATTTTGCAGAATGCTGAACTATATAAAATTTTACTTGAATGGTATTGATTTACTGGTAGTCTTTACTGACTTATTAGTTGCTCAGACTAATGGTTTAGATTGATTTTTGAGATTCCTTTTTCTTTGTATAGTAAAGCTAATTTTCCCATTTACTTATTATAGATGTAAAATTCATTTTTAATATTTATTGAGTTGTAGGCATTATTTAAGAGTATCTTAATATAGGAAATAGTCAAATCTGTTGCATTTAACCATACGGTTAACATGCTAGACAATACTGTTTACATTATTGATTTTATCTCTCTGATATTACTTACGAGATGTTGAAAATTAAATCAGTTTCTCCCATACGTGCCAGCAATAACCATCATCTTCACTTTTTGAGAAAGGCATATCTCATATAAACCCAGACTTCTAGAATTACAGAGGGACCTTATAATTTGACTCTTTCAGTGTAAATGCATCACAAATATTTTTTTCTTTTTTGATGGGGTGGGGAGGTTCACTGGACTGATTTCTTCTTATGACTACCTGGCTTTATGTAAGATTATAGATTCTTATCCAAAACCCTTAGGGCCTGGTTTGTTCTGTCATTAAGATTAAAAAAATACATATTTTAGAAAGTAATGAAGTACATATGCTGATATGTTATATGATTAGCAGGGTCTGAGGAGGCACTCTTAACTAAACACATTATTTCTGCAATGAAATATATGAATATTTATGTTAATTGGGACAAAGCCAGAGTGCCTTATCAGTATGGATCAGGTTTTGCTGCTAAACAAGTTACGAAAAAACTTATGGATTGCAAAGCTTTTTGGATTTTGAATTTCAGCTAATCAATTCTGAACCTGTAATAGATTGTGTTACATATTATAATATTTATAGATATGACTCTTTCTACAAATCAAAAATATAACAAAATTATGTATCTTTATTGTTTTTCCAATTTTTCTAGTATTTCACCTTTTATCTTCTAAAATATTTACTTTGTACAGCTGCTGTATTCTCGAGGATTGCTAATTGATCTTCTAATCAAATCTAATGTTAGTCGATATGCAGAGTTTAAAAATATTACCAGGATTCTTGCATTTCGAGAAGGACGAGTGGAACAGGTACGGTGCTGATCAAGAATTGTAACTGGGCATCAGCTTAAGTTATTATGATTTGTTTTGGAAAGATAAGCAAATAAGATTGTTATTTTCCTCATAAAGCAGTAAATTCCAGTCCTGCATAGAGATTTACAAATGTAAATGCTTAATTAAAATTTCCAGTGCTAATTTTCTCATGACTTACTCTGCAGCTTGGTGTTGGTACCAAAAAGCACACAAAGTACCAAAAAACACACCAGAGTCACTATACCCAAGACTAGTAGTCACACAAATCCTTTTCTCCCATTAATCAAGATTTTGGAGAGGGAAAAGAAAGAAACGGTGAGTTTTACTGTCCACTTGATCAGATTCCACACAGAGAAGGAGGCCCAGAGCCTGGTTTAGAAAAAAATCTTACCCTTATGACAGCTGATCAGATCCTGGATTCTTCACTACAGCTTCCAGAAGAACAGAGCTTTGCTATCCTGCTTACAGCAGCAAAACTGTAGGGGCCAAGGGAAACACTCCCTCTTAAGCCTCTGAAGTTTCACTGAAAAATCAACTCACAAAAGGCAGATTAATTGGAGAAAAAGCATAATAATGTACTAACATATACATGGGGAGAACCACAGTGTTTGTTTTAGATAGCACTGCTAAATTTTTCTCTGTTAGGATGACATGCCATTGGTCTTTTAATGGCATGTGGAGTAACTTGGCAGAATTAAGTAAGAAAGCTCACAGTTAGCCCTGAAGTTAGCAGAGATGCCATTAATACTGATGGAAGGTGATGTGAAAAAGCCTGACTAGAATGGAAATGATAATCCTGTTATATGTAAAGGGAAAAAAAGTGTAATTTGGAATACTTATATCGTTAGGAAGCAGTTTCTTAACTTAAAATCGTAATATTTTTCAGGTTCCTTGTTCCAGAGCAGATGTCTTTAATAGCAAACAACTTACTATGGTAGAAAAACGAATGCTAATGAAATTTCTTACATTTTGTATGGAATATGAGAAATATCCTGATGAATATAAAGGTATGTTTTTCATTAAGTTGTGTTCTCCAATTATTTGACATTTCTTACTATTTTAATATGCTTGCTCTGATTTAGTGAGCCACTTATTACTGTTTTAAAATGCATTCTAACTCTGCACTATCAATAGTAACATGTAACTATTTAAATTTAAATTAATTAAAATGAAATAAAATAAAAAATTCAGTTTCTCAGTCTCATTAGCTATATTTCAAGGGCTCCATAGCCCCATGTGGCTACAGTGTAGATATTTTGACTATTGCTGAAGTAGCGTGCTAGATTTTAATTTTTATTCTTATTATTTAAATACTACTGTCAACTGGCTCTTCGTAGATAATAATCCCGTTTCATGATTCCATTATTTTTTCTCATAAGTAAAAATACTATATATTTTGCCATTTTCCAGGATTGCTTTTGCCTAGAATCTTGAACTATTTTGTTTGAAAAAAAAAAAAAGGCTAGATGGTATATGGGGAAAAATACTGGATTCAGAAAAGGCATGGTTTCTATTCTTGGCTTTGACCTATTTCATTGTGTGATCTGGGGCCAGTTACTTCACAGTCTGTTCAAAATTGAATATGCCATTTTAATATCAGAGCTGTATACTTTAAGTCCATTGGTCTGAAAATGTTATCCAAAATTGGAATATACTATTGATAATTTATTTATAAAGTTACAATGGGAAGTGCAGTGATAGTTTTTTTCCTCTGCGAAATAATGAAAGTCTAATCCTTGCTCTTAAAGCTTCAAGTCTACTAGGATCTGTCATGTTATCCACAGTGGCTGTGTAAAATTCAGTTCTCTCAGTAAATTTTTATACTTTTTATTTATGTAAATTATTTCCGTAAAGTTTTTGTCTTTTATCATGGCGTGGTATTTACCACCACTGACAGTCCAATTACATTATATTCTGTTCTTGGTTTAAAGGAGTAACTTTTAGGGGTCCCATATGTTTTGATGTGATTATGTGGCCGTAAGACTGATTCTAGTAGCCACACAGAAATTCATTTCATTATTTTTTAGTTTATTTTCTGATTATTAGTGAGAAGTATTTATCATCTTAAATAAATACATTCCCATGTTGTCATAGTTGTTTAATATTTTCAGTACCATTATTGGCATTATCCTGCAGGTTTCATGACAATAAAGTGAGATTATTTTCCAGTTTTTTTAAATGCATGAAATGCTCAATCATATAAAGCTTAAAAATTGTGCCGTTACTCCAAATTGGAGAGCGAGATTGTTTCCACTTTTTTCTAAGATCAACCATCAGTGTCCAAAATGTAATACCACCTACGTCCTTTTTGAGGTCTTTGAAACACACTTCATCTCCTTTTTGTGGGGTGCTTTTAAATAGAAGTTTGGTTCTGATTTTAAGTGATAAAATTTCATCTTTTCATAGGATATGAAGATACTACATTTTATGAATATTTAAAAACTCAAAAATTAACCCCCAACCTCCAATATATTGTCCTGCATTCAATTGCAATGACATCAGAGACAGCCAGCAGTACCATAGATGGTCTCAAAGCTACCAGAAACTTTCTTCACTGTCTTGGGCGATATGGCAACACTCCATTTTTGTTTCCTTTGTATGGCCAAGGAGAACTCCCCCAGTGTTTCTGCAGGTAAGTTTGCCATTGGTTTTCTTGTCCCTTCTAAAGGTGATACTTAAATAACAGGTGAGAATTAGGAAGGCAAAAATGGAGATTTATTCAAGATTTAGTATATGCAAATATATACTTTATTATTTTTTTTATAATGGATTTACCTGCCTATCTACCCACCTAAGTGATATATTCAGTATGGCCTGTTTTTGAGCTTTATAAAAATGCTATTAAGTTCCTTTTTCCACTCAATAGCGTGATGGAAAGTATTGTCATTGCATATAATTTTAGTTAATTTTTATTGTTACATCGTATTTTATTGTGAATATACCACAGTCTACTTTTTCATTTTTCTGTTGATGTAACACAGATGTTTCCAGTTTTTTTGCAGTTAACACCCTTGTGAATATTTCAAGTTATATATATTCAATAATTTATCTTGGAAACATATCTAGGAATGGAATTCCCAAGTCATGAGATACATGAATGTCAACACTTTACAACATCGCGTTCAGTTATTTCTCTAGAGGGCTGTACCAATTATAACCTTTTAGCAGTACATAAGAATACCCAAAGCTTTTCATGTTTGCCAGTATTTAAAATTTTTTTTGTCAATCTAACTCACATAAATTATCATTGCATTGGATTTTTATTTTTCATTTCCCTAATTAGCTGTGAAGTTGCGCCTCTTCTCATATGTTTACTGGCCATTCATGTTTTATCTTCAGGAAATACTTGTTGTATCTTTTTTTCTTTGTTTTACACATTTTTAAAAAAAATTTTTATGTTTAGTGGGCACATAGGAGGCATATATGTTTGTGGGGTACTTTAATACAGGCACGCAAAGTGTAATCCATCATGGTAAATGGAGTATCCATCCCGTCAAGCATTTATCCTTTGTTTTGAAAACAATCCAATTATACTCTTTATTTTAACATGTACAATTAAATCATTATTGACTGTAGTCACTCTGTTGTGACATCAAATACTAGATTTTATTCATTCTTTCTAACTACGTTTTGTACCTATTGACCATTCCCACTTAACCGCTGCCCCCTCAAAACCCTCCCCAGGCTCTGATAACCGTCTTTCTACTCTCTGTCTCCATATGTTTAATTGTTTTAATTTTTAGCTCCCACAAATAAGTGAGGCTATGCATTGTTTGTCTTTCTGTGGCTGGCTTATTTCACTTAATGTAATGACCTTCAGTTTCATCTACATTGTTGCAAATGTCAGGATCTCAGGATCTCATTGTTTTTTTTTTTTGTTTTTTTTTTTTTTTTGAGATGGAGTCTTGCTCTGTCACCCAGGATGGCGTGCAGTGGTGTGATCTTGGCTCACTGCAACCTCTGCCACCCGAGTTCAAGTGATTCTCCTGCCTCAGCCTCCTGAGTAGCTGGGATTACAGGTGTGCCACCACGCCTGGCTAATTTTTGTATTTTTAGTAGAGATGGGGTTTCAGCATCTTGGCCAGCCTGGTCGTGAATTCCTGACTTCGTGATCCACCCGTCTCCCAAAGCGGTGGTATTACAGGCGTGAGCCACCGGGCCCAGCCAGGATCTCATTCTTTTTATGGCTGAATATTACTCCATGGTGTAACTGCACTACATTTTCTTTATCCATTTATCTGTTGCTGGGCACTTAGGTTGCTTCCAAATCTTGGTTATTGTGAACAATGCTGCAATAAATGTGGTGTGCAGATATCCCTTTGATACACTGATTTCTGATTTCCTTTCTTTTGGGTATATACCTAGCAGTGGGATTGCTGGATCGTATGGTAGCTCTAGTTTTGCTTTTCTGAGGAACTTCCAAACTGTTCTCCACAGTGATTGTAGTAATTTACACTCCCACCCGCAGTGTTCAAGGGTTCCCTTTTCTCCATATCTTTGCCAGTATTTGCTATTGCCTTTCTTTTGAATAAAAGTTATTTTAACTGAGGCAATAAAATATCTCATTGTAGTTTTGATGTGCATTTCTGTGATGATCAGTGATGTTGAGCACCTTTTTATATGTCTCCTTGTCATTTGTACATCTTCTTCTGAAAAATGTTTCAGATCTTTTGCCCATTTTTTAGTCATACTAGATTTTTTTACCGTAGAATTGTTTGAGCTACTTATATATTCTGGTCATTAATTCCTTGTCAGATGGGTAGTTTGCAAATATTCTCTTTCATTATATGGGTTGTCTTTTCACTTTGTTGATGGTTTCTTTTGCTGTGCGGAAACTTTTTAACTTCATGTGTTCCCATTTGTCAATTTTTGCTTTAGTTGCCTGTGCTTGTGGGGCATTGTTCAAGAAATCTTTGCCCAGACCAGTGTCTTGGAGGTTTTCTCGAATGTTTTCTTGTAGTAATTTTATAGTTTGCAGCATTAGATTTAATTCTTTAATCCAGTTTGATTTGCTTTATATATACGGCAAAAGATAGGGGTCTAGTTTCATTTTTCTTCATATGGATATCCAGTTATCCCAACACCCTTCATGGAAAAGACTGTCTTTTACTCGGTGTATATTCTTGACACCTTTGTCAGAAATGAGTTCACTGTAGGTGTGTGGATTTGTTTCTGGGTTGTCTATTCTGCTTTTTGGTTTATGTGTCTGTTTTTATGCCAGTATCATGCTGTTTTGGTGACTATAGCTCTGTAGTATAATTTGAAATAAGGTAATGTGATTCCTCCAGTTATGTTCTTTTTGCTCAGGATAGCTTTGGCTATTCTGGGTATTTTGTGGCTCCATATACATTTTAGGATGTTTTCATTTCTCTGAAGAATGCCATTGGTATTTTTATACAGATTTCATTAAATCTCTAGATTGCTTAGCATAGTATGGACATTTTAACAATATTGATTCTTCCAGTCCATGAACATGGAATAGTTTTCCATTTCTTTGTGTCCTCTTCAATATCTTTCATCAGTGTTTTCTAGATTTCATTGTAGGGATTGTATACTTCTTTAATTAAGTTAATTCCTAGGTATTTAATTGCATTTATGGTTATTCTAATTGAGATTACTTTTTAAAGTTTCTTTTTCGAATTTTTCAGTGTTGACATATAGAAATTCTACTAATTTTGTATGTTGATTTTATACCCTGCAACTTTACTGAATTTTCAGTCTAATAGTTTTTTGATGGGGTCTTTAGGTTTCTCCAAATATAAAATTATATCATCTGCAAACAAGGATAATTTGACTTCTCCCAGCCTCTCCCAGTGGCCACCACAGCCACTGGCCCACTGGGAGTTCTGCCAGGCCACGCCTGAATGTTCTCTTAAACCCCAAGTGCTCTTCAGTAAGCTTGTGTTGAATGCTTCCAGGCTTGGGCCTTACCTTTCATGGCAGTGGGCTCCCCTCTGGTCGAGGGTAGGTCCAGAAAGGCTTTCTAAGAGCCTAGGCCTCGACTTGGGTCCCCAAGAGCCTGCTTGGTGCTTTGCACCCCTGTGGCTGAGTTGGTGTTTAACACACAACACAAAGTCCCCTTTACTTTTCTCTCTGCTTTACTCCAGCAGAAGTCTTTTGCCATAGACACCACAGCTGGGAATGTACCAGGTCTCACCTGAAACCAGCATGTCTCAGAATCTCACAGCATACTACCTGGGTATTACTGTTGGTTATTTTGTAGCCAAGGGCTTTTAACTAGCAGGTGATGAGCCCTGCCAGGATTGGGTCCTTCCTTTCAAGGTGACAGGTTCTCTTACGGTCCATGGTATGTCTAGAAATGTTTTCTGGGAGTTATTAGAGTCTAGAATGGTAGCCTCATGACTCTACCTCGTGTCCTATCTTATTGTGGCCGAGCTGCTATCCAAGACGAAAGACAAAGTCCTTGTAATCTTTGCTCTTCTCTTCTCAAGCAGAAGGAATTTGTCACCTTCATTGCTGTGAGCTGCATGGCCTCGGGTTTGGGGAGAGGTGGCAGGAATAGTCCCTTAGCTGCTCAGGCTGGTTTCTCCTTGGGCCATGTGCTGCCCTAGTCCATGGGCTCTAAGCCCAGCCCAGCATTAGCACTTACCTAAGAATTACAGTCTTTATGTCCTAGCTTGCCTTTCAAGTATACCTAGAACTCCAGAGCACCTTAGCCCAAAGTGGCAAGGCTTGCTGAGACGCTGGAGCACCAGCTGCTGGGATGGGCCATTCCTCTCTTGCTAGGGCTGGTCCAAATGCTGTCTCAGTGCCAACTGAGCCCAGCATAACTTTGCTCTCCACTGACAGGGCAGCACCGGGTTCAATGCTACATCCCCCAGTTGCTATGCTCTCGCTCCCTCAAATGCATAGATTTCTCTCTCCATGCCGCATGGCCACTGCCGTGGAATTGAGGAGGGGTGGTGTTGACGATTCAAGACTGTCTTCAGTGCCTCCTTCAGTGATAGGAAGTTGCAACCTGGTACTGTGATTGCTTACCTGATTTTTGCTTCTTATGACGGTGCTTTTTGTGTGTGTAGTTAGTTGTTAAAATTTGGAGTTCCTGTGGGAGGGATGATCACTAGAGGCTTCTTCTATTTGACCATCTTTCTCCACCCTCTTGTTGTTGACCTTCGCCCGTTTGTCTATTCGGTTGTTGTCTTTTTCTTATTGATTTGTAGGAGTTTTAAAATATATCCTGATTAGTGATCTTTTTTCAGTTATATGTTTTGGATGTATTTTATCTTATGGTTTTTATGATACATAAAGGTCATGAAGATTAATACAGTCAAATAGAGCAATCTTTTTTTTTTTATGCTTAGCTTTTTTGGGGAGGTCATATAGTATACCTGAAGTATGGAGACAAGACTGCCTAGATTTAAGTCCTGACTTTTCTGTTTATTAGCCAGGTAACTTTGGGTAAGTTTTACGACCTCTCTGTTTTTCAGGTATCAAATTTGGGATTTTTTTATTCAGTTGTAACTTTGTGTCCTAATTCATTATTTTCTGCTCTTTATTATCTCCTTTATTTTGCTTTCTTTGGATTTTATTTAGATCATCTCTCCCCTCCCCTGCCCTTGGCAATTATTAGGCTGAAATTCCATGAATTAAGTATTTATCTTTTAAATATTT